TTCAACAGAAGGGAGAATCTCGAATAGGTTTTGAACAAGTGAAGGGTGAGTAAATATAGAATTTTCCTTTTTGGGTGAACTATCCCTTTAAAACATCTGTAGCTGGGCCCTTCAAGGGAAATGTCGACTTTCAGACATACTGTTTACATTCTCACAACCAACACGCATTTGTCAAAGTGTGAATGACTGGAAAAAAGACTTGAGCTTCCGGGATCTTGGATGACAGTCGATGACACTACAGAGCACAGCAAGGAGAACAGAACAGCAAGATCGGCTAAAAAAGCTGTCAATCCCCCGAGGTGAAAAACGTAAGCCTTTCCCTGACACCCGAACGCTGAGTCAAGCCTATTTTGATGCTGTATAATACCCATAACCTCTGGAAAATTCTCCGACATGTCCAGGATCCTGACCTCCACACTTAGTGACTTAAACCTCAAGCCCTCAAATGATATATAATCATCTGTCCTCGCAGAAAAGCTCTTGAGGATGAATTGCCCTTTTCTGTGTTCTTTCAAAACACTGCTTTTTTATTAGAGGGATTTTAAGGCATCAATATATTAATAAAATTAGGTTATAATGGTATTAAAGGTGCTGTATCTAAGTTTTAAATTCCTTCTAATGCATAAAAATAGCTAAATAAGTTTGTATATATTAAAAAAAAACATTCCAAGTGAACATTTGTATCTGAAAAACAATGCTGAAGTCAGATAATCTGCTTTGAAAGTGTGTGTTAGGTGTCAGAACGGCTGTCTTTGTTGTGGTTTCTTTAACTTGCCCATTGCCAGTTTAGCTAATTATATTCCAGCACTCCAGGTTGCCTTGATGGAAAACAGCGTATTTGATTCATTCAGTCATGAAGGCTCTCAAAGCATGTCAGTGACCGAATCGCGACCTCCGGTGGACAGTAGCAGACTCCGAAATGAGATGCAGATTCAGAGTTCCACATATGGTTATTAATTAGCAAATAATATAAATATTACGAACGTAAACATTAGGTGAGCAGGTTACATTGTAACCCTGTGTCCTAACCAGTGTTTTGCAAGTTACTTCCAAATTACTTGTTACTGCTATTTAAAAGTAATCCCTTACCTTACAATATTACTGTCTCAGAATTGTAATATGTTACATGACTCTTATTTTATTTTTTTGTTACTTTGTACTAATGTACTAGACGTGAGACATGTACTCTAGCCAATAAGAACATTCAGACGCATTCACATCTGTGCTGTTATATGAAAACAAAATCCTTTGAATATTTTTCAAGACACATTTAGCTGCTAGATGTTAGTCAGATACCGTTTCTATTGGGGTGTGATGAGATGCTTACGGGCGACGCATTTGCGCAGTAGGTAGTGCTGTTGCCTTATAGCAAGAAGGTCACTGGGTTGCTGATTCGATCCTCGGCTCAGTTGGCGTTTCTGTGTGGAGTTTGCATGTTCTCCCTGCGTTCGCATGGGTTTCCTCCGGGTGCTCCGGTTTCCCCCACAGGCCAAAGACATGCGGTACAGTTGAATTAAATAAGCTAAATTGTCCGTAGTGTATGAGTGTGTGTGTGAATGTGTGTGGATGTTTCCCAGAGATGGGTTGCGGGTGGAAGGGCATCCGCTGCGCAAAAATGTGCTGGATAAGTTGGCGGTTCATTCCACTGTGGCGCCCCCGGATTAATAAAGAACAAGACAAGAAAATGAATGAATGAATGAGATACTCACTCTCAATGAGACGAGACACGAGATTAGATACACGAGAACGAGATGAGACGAGATTTCCCCCCTATTTTTAAGAAACCTTCAATGATGAAATATATGAATGGAAAATAATCTCGGCTAGCCCCGAGTCAAGCTAATGCATGAACCACCAATCAGACAATTCCTAACTCAGTACAAATAACCCAAACATCTTACTTTTAGCCATCTTCGTCCTGAAGAATCCCCCCTTCCACCCCCTCTCCTCCTTATTTGTTCCTCTATAGTGCAGCATGGCTAGCACTCAAGATGTACCTGAGCTCAAACGCTCGCGCTGCAAACGGGAGGGAGCCCCAGGCTAAAGGATCTCATGAGTTCAGAGCTCTCTCCCGGGATAGCATGCCAAACCAGCTTATTACCAATCATCAGCTAAGTGTGAACTCTTGATTGTTAAATTAAAACTAAATTCCCGACAAAAATAAAACACCACATTAACAAAGTGCTCAATAAATAGCAGCGTCTTACAGATCTAAATCTAATTTTTAACTTCCACCAACTGATTTTCAAGCAAAAGTAACTAAAACTCAAAATGTGATGAACAAGCTTCAGATATGTGCTTAAACGCATCTGCAACACTAGTATATTATCATCTTCTTGTACCACGAAAAAAATCTCCTGAGGATAAAATGTCACGTCTCAACATCCCTTTAAAACACTGCATTTGTTCATTAGAGGGATTTCGGAGCCCAGAGTGAACTTAACATCAGACAGAAATGTATTTAATGGTGCAGAATAGAACAGCCAGGTGGGTATAAAGTGACTCAAATAAAAACTAACTTTTGAGATGCATCAGTAATACAAGAGGGATTTCAACCTCCTTCTTCTTTTATTTTTTTGTGCTCACAGGTAAGAAAAAAGCCTTCAGAGTGCTCTTCTGGTGCCCGGCTCTCTAACTAATAAATGACTTGCAGGAAATTTGCCATTAGAAACTCCTTCAGCCCGGTCTAAGTGCCGATTCGTTGCGAACAGAACTCCTGTGTATTAATGCATGATTCTTTTTTTTTTTTTTTCCACCTCAAGTCCATTTCATTTATTTTTTTCTGAGCGCCTGCTGTCTGCCAAGATTATCTTTTGCATTAGTAAATGAGCTTTTTATTCGTTCTCTTTGTGTTTTCTTGTTCTCGGTTCAGCCGCGGGCCTCAGGAATCAGCTTTTGCAGAGCTTCAATACTGATTTTCTTCAGGCTAACCGTAAGTGTTAAGTTCAAGAGAGATTGTTTTTTTCACACAAACCAACTTTCAATTTTATTCTTCCGTCAATCATAATCATCAGCGCAGTGTGGTGTGGTGCTGAATGCACAGCAAACAACCACAAAACGCAGATGAACGGACAGTTAAAGACAAAATTATTAGCCCAGAAATTTGTATTTTTTTCATGCATACTTTCCGCTTAAGCTGAAAATTTGAAAATGACCCGGTTCCATATTGTACGTCAAGATGTGTTCTAAATCAGGGGTGTCCAAACTTGGTCCTGGAGGGCCGGTGTCTTGGAGAGTTTAAGCTCCAACCCTAATCAAACACACCGAAACAGCTAATCAAGCAACTTCTAGATATTCTAGAAACCTCCTGGCAGGTGTGTTGATGCAGGTTGGAGTTAAACTCAGCACCAGACACCAGCCCTCCAGGACAGAGTTTGTACACCACTGGTCTAGACGTTTAAAAATAACTGTTATAATATTATTTTACTATTATAATAAGTGTCTAGAAAATAAATGTTTAAAAACATATTAGTTTTATTAAAGGGTACATAGTTTACCCCTTTTTTATGATTTAATATTATTATAATGGTTCTTCTGAGTGTGCCAGTTTAGGTGCAGTGCAGCACACAGTTCAGATTTTTTTTAATATAATGAGTTCAAAAGTGTCATGTTGGGGGCGTGTACACAGCTCGCTGTTTTAGGGGTGTGTTGCTTCACATGAAAATTAGTCTCGGCTTCCCGCCCAACGTAACAAGGGGGCGGAGCCAAGACCTCCCACGCTGTGTGTTTGCAACAGACAGGCAGACCGAGAGAAGCTAAGCTAGGATCAGCATTCAGCCGTACATGTACGACTCAGACACAGACCAAGCAGAGAGCACACAATCATTTGTGTCTCTGTATAGTTTTACAGGCAACTGTGTGCTAGTTTCAAGTGCCGAGCTTGTACACCGAGACTATCAACCACTGAATTAACTCGAAGCTGCGATACGGCAAAACAAACATTCTCCGTGGCGTGGCAGAAACATGGCGTGGCTCCAATTGGTCCACCGTTTTTATGTTGTTCAATTTAAAAAAAAAAAAGGACTGTGTGTGTTTATATCACCCCAATATGATGGTCTATACACTATACTTACACGCATGTCTGTCCAAATAGCTTGAAAAGTAGATTTTTCACCATAGGTAACTAATTTATTTTATCTTTGCCATGATGACAGTATATAATATTTTGCAAAATACTATCTATCTAGAGTGAAGGAGTGGTGCAGTAGTAGGTCTGTTTATCTATCTATCTGTCTATCTATCCATCCATCCATCCATCCATCCATCCATCCATCCATCTATCTATCTATCTATCTATCTATCTATCTATCTATCTATCTATCTATCTATCTATCTATCTATCTATCTATCTATCTATCTATCTATCTATCTATCTATCTATCTATCTATCTATCTATCTATCTATCTGTCTGTCTGTCTGTCTGTCTGTCTGTCTGTCTGTCTGTCTGTCTTTAATTTATACTTTCATTCTTTCATTTTATTTATGCATTCTCTCTCTATCTAACACTTTTATTCATTCATTCATTCATGCATCCCTGCCTGCATAAATAGATAGACAGAACGATAGATGGAACAATAGAAAGAATGCTGGATGGATAGATAAAAAAACGACAGACAGACAGACAGACAGACAGACAGACAGACAGACAGACAGATAGATAGATAGATAGATAGATAGATAGATAGATAGATAGATAGATAGATAGATAGATAGATAGATAGATAGATAGATAGATAGATAGATAGATAGATAGATAGATAGATAGATAGATAGATAGATAGATAGGATAGATAGATAGATAACTGCTTATCATAACTTAAAAAATATTAACAGAAGCATCAAAAAAGCATCTCCTGCGTGTATTTGTGTATCTGAAATGAATGCATGCTAGACCGTTGGTGTATTCTGAGTGTGTGCAAGAGTTCAGAGAGAAAGAGAGACAGACTGTCAGAGAAATGAGTGACGGCTGTAGATGAGATGTTTGTAATGCGGGTCTGACCGGCGCCAGGTCCTCCATGCTGATGGGCAGCTCTCGCATGGTGAGCAGCAGGTCCAGGTGAGCGCTGAGGTTCGGGATGTTGCACATCTGAGGGAGAAACCAGAGACATCATCAAGATATGCAGAGACAAGCCTCGCAGATGCTCAGGAGCATACAGTGCAATCTTAACAGATGAAAATGTCCATGTTTCACATCAAGAATCGAAAGACAAGAGTGTGTAAAAGATTATAATATACAATTGGAGGCGTTATTTTTTTTACAAATTTTGACGAAGTTCATTCATTCATTTTTCTTCAGCTTAGTCCCTTATTTATCAAGAGTTGCCACAGCGGAATGATCTGCCAACTTATCCAGCGTATATTTTAGGTAGCATATGCCCTTTCAGCCACAACCCAGTACTGGGAAATACTTATACACACTCATTCACACACAGTCATACATTACGGCCAATTTAGTTTATTCAATTCACCTATAGCGTATGTGTTTGGGCTGTGGGGGAAACCGGAGCACCCAAAGGAAACCAACACCAACCTGGGAAGAGCATGCAAACTAGAGAACTGTGCACGTCTGAATTTTTACTCCACTTCCGCCAGGTTTTATTCCGCACCTGACCGATCCCGCCGTATGTTCAACCTTTGTTCTCTGCCCGACACGCCATATTTCCTACCCGACCTGACCGTTCCCACTAAATTTAGATTTGTTTTCCAAAATCTCATATTAAAATTGGGTAGTCGCAGAAATGCAGACCTCTAATGCAAACTCCACACAGACTTTTGACATCCAGTGGCTGAACTAAGTATTGCACTGCTGTTTCAAAACAACAAGAGCAGGGTGCCAGATTGACGACACCAACAGCAGTGTGTCTAACCGTTGAGCTAAAAGGCTGATTTAAACCCTGTTCTTAATAAAGCCAACAGCATGCGATAGAAAGAATATTCTCTACATTAAAGGAATTTTTGTCCTAGCCAACACCTGAAATTTATATTTGAGAAACAGCTTCTATTTCTTGCAGCAGAACAACAGGATAAACTGAAAATGTTTGCCTCGTGTACATCTCATATCCTTTATTGTGTTTAGTTTTAGTACAGTTTTTAGTGTTAAATGCTAAATAAAATAAACAGTTTGAATTAGAACTGTGATAAGCCAACACTAGTGATTCGGAATCTACATTTATTAATGTTAAAGTAGTTTTATTGGTATTAATCAGCTTATAAACCTTACCAGTGCAGTAAGTGCACTTTTCTTTCACTTTTTTGTTCCAGAAATCAGATAAGACAAAAACAGAATCCAAAAAATAAAGCAAACGAGTTCATACCAGGGTGAGAATGTGGTGAAATCTGAAAACGTAGTAAAAAAAAATCAGACGAAGGCTTTTCTTTTTCTGGACAGCTTTTGTAAATTGTCGGTTGGGTTTAGGGAAGTGAGCGGGCGGGCGGGTCAATTGATAAAATTGGTTGGGTTATGGGAAGGGAGGAGGGTGGGTCAACCAGCCGATTGGCCGGTCGCACAGTCAATCATTCAGTCAGTCAGACAGCAGCCTCTCGTGTGTGAACAGCGCGGGCACGAACGCCACTCGCGAGAGACATTTGAGATCTGAAAAATCGCACAAAGTGGCCTCTCGCGGATTCGCAAAAACAAAAACTGCAAAAATTTGTACATACCCGGGACGTATTTCACGGCCTCCAGAAACGTCCACGGGACTACATTTTCAGAATGAACCTGGGTTGCGAAATATAATTGGCTAAACTGGCATTAGGCAGGTTAAAGGAACCACAACAACAACAAAAAAAGCTGTATTGGCACCTAACGCACATTTTTAAAACCGAATATCTGACTGCAGCATTGTTTTTCAGATAAACAGTTAGCAAGCAAGTTTCTTAAATATTTACAAACATGTTGTTGTATTTTAATGCTTTAGATAAGTCAAACCTTACATACAGCACCTTTACATTAACTATTTAATAAATAATAATCGAAATTTGGTTTATTTATCTACATTTTGACGTTATTTTTTTTTATTTGTATTTGTGAGATTCAGTCATACACATTCAACAGATGTCATCTGAAAACCAGCCAATGATATTTGCCCTAAGGCTAGATACACACACACATATATATTTTAAGGTTAAGACATTTATATTTGACATGTTTTATGTATTATGTATCTCACATATTTGATGCATTTTAAGTGACCACCACAGCTGGAAGGGGTTTCAGTAAGACATCATTATACAGGACTCAATATTCAGCAGTGATATCTACTGAGAAATACGGAAACACCCAACATGACTTGTTTAAATCCTCAATTCTCAAGCTTTGGAAAGGACTGGTGTTCTGTAAATTTGTCCTACCTTGTCAGATTGTCCTACCTCTTATTCAAAAAGTAGGCAGCCCAATTTGTTGACACAATATGCTACCAATTAGATTTTGCTACCAGTGTAAATTTGAATGTGGAGTAGTGTGAAATGAAGCTGTAATACGGCCCTAACCTACCACAATCTCAGAACCATTCACATACAGTGTTGGTAGCATAATCTGATGGGTAGGATCAAATGTCAAGACACTGGCTCTGTGATTAATGCTTCACAAACACATGTCCAGAGTTGTTAAAATGCTTAAAGGAACTGAAGAATGAAAGGATTCTCGTATAAAACCCCTTAATCAAGTGGTTTGGTTCATTCTTAAAGTGAAGATGAAGGTTAAGAATTAAAATAAACAAGCTGTCAAACTAAATCCTCTCATGCATTTTTATGTAATGAGGATCAAATTAATTTGATGCACTTTTAGACGCATGAAAACAAGGCCATATACATAAAATCAAACCTAGCTGACTTAAGCCTGCATGTGTGTCTGTAAATGAATAAATCTATAAGAAATAGAGTATTAGAGGGCGTCACAGTGGTGCAGTGGGTCGCACTATCGCATCACAGCAAGGTCGCTGGTTCTCGACTGGGTCAATTGGCATTTCTGTGTGGAGTTTGCATGTTCTCCCTGTGTTCACATAGGTTTTCTCCGGTTTCCCCCGCAGTCCGAAGACATGTGCTATAGGTGAATTGAATAAGCTAAATTGGCCAGTGTATGAGTGTACATGCAAGAGTGTATGGGTGTTTCCCAGTACTGGGTTGCAGCTGGAAGGGCATCTGCTACATAAAACATTAACTGAATAAGTTGGCGGTTTATTCCGCTGTGGCAACGCCTTATTAATAAAGGGACTAAGCCAAAAATAAAACTAAACAATGAATAACTTGTAAATGTTAAAAGCTATTAGTTACTATGCTTTAAAGTAATTAGCAAGTAATAGAGTTAGAATGAAACGAGGGTGTTGATGCCCATTCTGACCAATCACAGATGTTTCTGCTGAGCTCCTGAACACACAGGCATTCAGCTCATGCTGATATGCTCTCTCATTGGCTGCAGCTCGTCACTACATCGGACCACACGTGGGGTTGAGTCAGCCGACTGCTCTGGAACATTTAGCATGCTAAATGTTGGATTTCCGTCTGCGAGGTGTCGGCGAGGTGTCGGCGACGCGTCAGCGAGCCTCTTTGATGTGTTGTTCAGTAGTTCACACATAAAGAGCGGCGAGCGGCGAGCACCTGCAGATTTCTTCCCGATCACAGCCCGATCTGTCGGTGAGCTCGTTAACTTCCAAATCGGGCTCAAATCAGGCTTAAAATCCTCTAGTGTGAACTAGGCTTAAGGTAAGCGGGCTGTATGCACACTTTTTAAATATGTCTATGATAATACCATGTAGGCACATTTATAGTTTTAAAACTCTTACAACAACCATAAAGTAAAACAAAACGTATTTCCTATGTAAAAAAAACGATCCAAAAGGCAGGTCGGTCTATGTGTTTTTGCGTATTTATTTGTTTATAACATATAACGTGGATTATATTATAATAATCTGAGAGAGTAAATCTTTGTTATGAACCATTTTTTCTAAAAATAAGCTTGAAAAGTTGTCTGTAGCAAGGTGGTGATGTCACAGGCGAGCATTCTGAAGGCACAGTAGCCCGTTTATAGCCTAATGTTAGCTTTTCAATTCTTGCGCTTGCATTTATGATGCAAAAAGTAATAAAAGTTGTATTTTTGTGTGAGAACTATACGGTTGGACAAAACGTGTAAGTGTAATGAAGAGTGTTTGAACACAGACCTTATTATTTGCAATCTTCATAAAGCCTATCGGAAAATCCTATAGAGATTTTAACGAGGAAACCAGTTTTATGCAAGCAGCCTAATAGCCTACAAGGTGACGGCATAGTTGCTCCACTTTAGAAGGCAAATTAACGTAATTAGGCAAATCCTTGTTTAACGTTGGTTTGTTCTGTAGACACTCAAAATAAATTACCTAAGGAGGCTATTAAAGTTGACCTCAAATAGTTTAAAACAAAACTGCTTTTATTCTAGCCGAAATAAAACACAAGACTTTCTCCAGAAGAAAAAATATAGGAAATACTGTAAAATATTCCTTGCTCTGTTAAACATAATTTGGGAAATATTTCAAAAAGAAATTTCACAGGAGGGTGAATAACAAATGTAAATGAGTAGGCGTTGTGATTTTACCTCCATCATGTACTGATCCACCACGTGCAGCTCAGCTGAGTCTCCTTTATGTGATTTATACATCTCCACGTCATCCGGAGTGGGCACGTATCTGATGAAGAGCACACAACAAATGTAAACACAGCAAAGCACTGAAACGCCTGCCCTAATTTAGGTTTACATCATCCCATCCTCTCCGGTTCATAAATACTTCATAGAGGCCCATTTTAAGCATGCACAATTCTAAAAGGATGTCACACGACCCTTGTTCCCTTTTTTTTACAGGTTGACTGCCTAGCGAGCCTATTTTCTCCTTGGAGATTGCCTCTTTTTTTTCCTTTGCATCTCTCCATCTAGTCCTCAGAATATGGTGCATGCTTTTCTGATTTCCAGTGGCCCGAGGAACAGGGGTTGATTAAAAGCCAAGTTGCAGTCAGCTTGAATAAAGTGCTCAGGTAGTTGACGCTTCGACTGTTTCTGACTCTTTGAACCCGCCCACCTTTTAAAATGGGCTGCTGTTCGGGTCATTTTAAGCGTGTTTCAAATCCACACCACACTGACTATTTCATGAGGATGTTCTGATGGAGAAACTACAGCCACCTGCCATTAATATTGCAGATATTTCGCTTGGACCATTTTGCTTAAAAGGGACACCTTTTCATAAGGTGAGATATAAATCTCTGGCTGTCAACAGACTGTGTCTGTAAAGTCCCAGCTCAAAATACTGCACAGTTCATGTGGTATAGCTTTTGCTATTAATTGAGTGAGAGTCATTACTGTGCTTGTCACTTTAAATGCAAATGAGCTGCTTCTTTCTAAAAGACATGGGCTGCGTCCGAAATCGCCTACTACTCAGTATGTACAACGTTTGAATCTGAATTTATTAGTCGACTGTTAGAAAAGTACGTTCCTTATAGTATGAATTTGAGCTGTATGCATGGAACTCAACGTACTACATTCGCCATTTTGTCATGATCAGGTGACCCATCCACGTTAGTTGCATCGCTTCTCTCCCATTCATAAATTCTCTTCTGTGGCTTTATGGGATAACATAGCATCCATCGGATGCACACTTCAGAATCTCACAGGAAAGTAGTTGGTCATCCAGGTACTTCTCGCATACTGTTTTTCAAATACTACTGGGCTCGCATACTGAGAGCACAGCCTTTAAAAGAAACCCCAGAGGCAAATGATCACTGTTACCCTTTCTTTCGAGTGCCTTGGGATGATTTTTGCTGTTTTATCATTTAGTATAGCTTTAGAAATTTGCTATTAAGTTGGGTAGTCATTTTTGTGCTTGTCACTTTGAAATGCAAATGAGCTGCTGCTTTCCACAAGTGGGCGGAGCCTTTACATGCTATTCTGACACTACAGAAACAACAAAACAAGTAAATCTCATGCAGCTGAAATGTGAAAATTACAGTAGTAGATTAAACGCTTACATGTTCAAACCAGAGTCAGATACTTGGTTGATATCTCTCACATTTTGACTTATCGCATGAGAAACAGGTAATGGAAATGACAAATTTCTAATAAAAATCCCTAAATTCACAATAAAGTTTTTATGCTAGCTTGAAGAGATTTTATACTTGTTCAAAAAAAATGACTAGCAAATACTAGACCCGTGTAGAGATTTGAGGCAGTTTTCATGTGCATTTTGTTAGTAAAAGCAGTTTTAGTAAACCTCCAGCATGTGTGTTTAGATAAAGCAGTTTACTACATAGAGTACACTGTTAAGCTACACACAAAAAAATGTTTTATTTGAATTCTGTGTTTGTAAACTTTTAGCTTAAAATACTGCAGAGATCATGTATAGCTTTCCAAATTTGCCAATATTGGGGAGATCCTTTTTGTGCTTGTCACCTTAAATGCAAATGAGCTGCTGCTTTCAACAAGAAGGCAGAGCCTTTACATGCTATTCTGACACCCCAGAAACAACAAAACAAGTGAAACTCATGCTGCCGAACATGTTCAAACCAGAGTCAGACACTGGCTGGGTTGATATATCACCGACATTTTAACTTATCGCATGAGAAATGAGTGATGGAAAGGCCAAATTTTAAATAAAATCCATAAATTCACAATAAAGCTTTTACGCTAGCTAGAAGTGGTTTTGGACTTGTGCGACTTGTGCGTGTGTCAGTAAAAGCAGTTCCAGTAAAGCTCCAGCATGTGTGTTTAGATGGAGGAGAGTTTACTTCACAGAGTCAAAGTACACGGATAAGCTATGCAAAAAATTGGTTGAAAAATGGAATTCAGCTGAATTGTCATTGATGACATTGAGATAATCATTCAACACTAACGACAGCCGTTTGTGTCACTTCTTAGTTAACTATGGCTGTTGTAAATGTGGCAGGTTAAATGACAACATATAATAACGTGGTTTTATTAAACACAGGCTCACTTGAAATATGTACCCATGGCTACATTTTTGAGAACTGAAAGATTTATACCGTGGACTATGTCTTTTTGCAGTTTGTGTTTTCTCAAATCCCCTAGAGGACACTGTGTACAATTTTTGGCAAGAAGGATTGCTTGTCGTTGAGCATAATTTATCAGCTTGACATTGACTGACTCTAATAGGCCTTCATAATTTTATTATTAATGTAGCTATACATGTCATTATAATCCATTATTAGTTTTGTTTGTCTTTTATAGATTCATTTAAAAATATATATAATTGATTTTGTTAGAGATATAATACATCCATGAAGTTATTATCGCAGAATCAAGCCTGACGGGTTGATTGGCAACCCGAAGCGGAGCCCTGTTGTACACTCTCAGAAATAAAGGCACGCAAGTTGTCACAGGGGTGGTACCTTTTCAAAAGGTACTTGTTTGTGTCTATATTGGTACCTCAAAAGTACATATTAGTACCTACAAATTTTAAGAGGAACACTTTTGTACTTTTTAGATACCAATATGTACCTTTGAGGTATTAATATGGAACTTTTAGATACAAATTTGTACCTTTTGAAAAGGTACCACCCCAGTGACAGCTCGCGTACCTTTATTTCTGAGAGTGTGTAAGACTAAAGGGCTTTATTTATTTTGCAAAAACAACCATCCTGTGTGCACTTCATCTATCTTCTTACATAACTACTTGGGCAAAAAACATGAAATTTAAACATAACATTGTTCTAAGACGAAGTTTATTAGGATTACCTACACTACACTAACCTGCGCATTATTCAGTCACAAAATGATGCCAAACTGTCAAAAATGCAAAGCTGACAGAAACGAAAATGGTTGAATGTAGCATGGACTAACCTACGTATTGTTCATTCAGAAGACATTACAAATCCTCCAAAAGCAGTCAAAAACTGCATCATGACAGACAAGCAAATCCATATGAATATGGATCCAAGTATATGGGTATGAATGTATTCCTGATGGTAACGCCCCGGGTTCAGAGGAAGGCACAGGCTCCCAAAATTATCAAAACATGTGTATTTTATTATAATTACTCGCAAGGAAGAACACTGAAAGGACATGGGGTGAAAACAAGCAACAGACAAGACATCACGAGGAAAGATTACCGGACAAGGAACTAACTGAATACAGGGACTTAAATACAAAGGAGATGATGAACGGATTACATACAGGGGTGGGACACAGGTGGAGGTGATGAACATAATGACACATGGCGGGAACTGGAACAAAGGAGCATATGGGGAAAGGTCACATGATGAAAACAAACATACACGGAAGACTGGGTGTGACATTGACAGTCATGGTGATTCGAAGTTCCCAGATGAGCCTGTGCTATTTAGAGGTTGTTATCTGGAAATAACATACCTTGAAAGGTTGTGACTGACCAGCAAATATTAAGTATTAAGCCGTGTAAAAAAAATAAATATAAACTGAATTTAAATTCATTATGAGTATTAGCATTAGGAGAACTCCTGGTGCTAAGATAAAATGTTTTGTAAATATGGATCCAGTCCCCTTTAAGACTGTATTCAGAAGTCCACGTGACTGCACTTAGATATTTGCTGTATTGGGTTTAAATAAATATAAATCTCTCAGCAGGTACATTATATTATGCCTCCTGCACACAGGTCGCCATCAGGCAGTCATGTAAGGATGCTTCTTGCAGACAAAAAATGCTAGAGAGAAAGCATTTCTCCAGTTTCCCTCAGGGCAACTCAATAGTTCCTTTTCCTCAAATACATCCGATAAAAGTTTCATAAGCGGGCTGTTCTGTTAAGAGAGCCTGGCATATGTTCTTTTATATTAGCATTAAAGAAACGTTCCTCAACATGAGCTGCTCGTGACTCTTGAGGTCTCTGTGGTCTTCATTAGATCCGCCGGTGGAGCATCTTGCAAAACTCTGTTTTATAGGGCTGTGCTCGGCCGATCTCCATCATTATATTTTCATTTATAGTTTATAAAAGGGTCATTGACAAATCACATGGACAAAAAATCTCGATGGTGCTTTGGCTGAAGTCTTAAACTTTTTAAATGTTTTCTGTGGGCTCTAATCATAAAAAGTGCATGGAGCGAGCTAATGAATATAAAATGTGACTAAAATCGCTTTAAATAATATAGCTTATCATCTCACAATGCTATTCCAAAGTTCAAAAGTTGTAAGGCTGGCAAGTACGTATGTTTTGAGAAATTATGAAAAATAATTTATAGTAAATTAAGTTTGAATAATTAATATAATTTAATTCATCAAGGATGAGTATTTGTATGATTATATTACAAGGATAATATAGTATAAACTCTGCTCATTGAAATGAAAGAATTTTGTTATTTATTAGGCATTACTGTAAATGTATCACAGTTTCAACAATATAAAGTAGCAAAAGTAATAATGCCGAGTAATAATTAAGGGTGTAATGGATCAAGATTGATCTGTGATTTGTACGGATCACCACCCACGGTTCGGAACACACATGACCCATGGAGTAATACTTTTTTTTCTTTACTTAATTTATAAAGATCGCAGAGATTTCGCCTCTCTTGTCATTTAAATCGCATGGATGAAAGCATTTAGGCTTTCCTGTAAAATATAATGATGACGGAAGAAATTAAGGTAGGTTTTTTAGGATGTGGTAGGTTATTAAAGGTGTTTTCTATCACTACTTGTTTAGCCTGCATTAATGCATTCAGTGTAAGCTGAACGATTATTCATTATAAGATCGGGCTCTCAACACCAACGCAACATAAATTATTAATGATGGTGATTTGCAAATGTTTATTAATTCTTGGAATTGCTGCTTTCAAATCTGTGTTTGAAACACGCAAAATTGAAGAAAAAGATTCAGTCTGAATCACTGATGTTTATGGTAAAGATTAAAATCACCGTCATATGCATTTAACGACGCTCAAAAATGAAAGTCTTAGGCAGCAATTGCATTATTTAACCAATAGGTGTCGACAAACAGCAATCAAAAATAAGCCACTGAATAATTCTTCAAAAATGACTATCTAGCAATGAAACATGACGTTTTATGGGTGAATAACTGAATCATTTATTTAAAATAAGACTAAAAATAAATATGGGTTGTATGAATTATGTTAGATTTATACATTTAGAGTTATCAGCAACAGTAGTAGTAAGAGAGAATTTTACAGTACTGAATATTTTACATTTATTTTTATTAGCTGAATATTTCTTGATTTTATTTTAATAAAAATAACTGGTTCTGAGTTCTGTTTGTTAAAGCCAAATGGTGCTTGCAGTACTGTTTTTGCAATAATTGGAGAGCAAATCACATTTGTCTCCTCCTTTTTTTGGCTGATCCGAAAAATGGGTCAATCCATGACTAATAAAACATAATGTGATCCGAACCGTGAGATTTGTGATCTGTTACACCATTAGTAAAAATGCTGCAAATACAGCTTATCATCACAAGAATAACATACATTTTAAACTATATTAGTGAGATCTAATTAGATTTATGGGGCTCACGGTGGTGCAGTGGGTAGCACGATCGCTTCACATGAAAAAGGTCATTGGTTTGAGGCCCGGCTGGGTCAGTTGGCATTTCTGTGTGGAGTTTGCATGTTCTTCCTGTGTTGGCGTGGGTTTCCTCCAGGTGCTCCGGATTCCCCCACAGTCCAAAGACATGCGCTATAGTTGAATTGAATAAGCTAAATTGGTGGTAAACTATGTGTGTGAGTGAGTGTGTATGGGTGTTTCCCAATGTTGGGTTGTGGCTGGAAGTGCATCTGCTTGTGTAAAACATATGCTGGATAAGTTGCCGATTCATTCCTCTGTGGCGATTCCTGATTAATAAAAGGACTAAGTCGAAAAGAAAATGAATGAATGAATGACTAACTAGATTTTATATATAATAATATTATTACCAGTATTATACTTGTAATTATTTCTACTACTACTTATAATATTCATTCATTCATTTTCTTTTCAGCTTAGCCCCTTTATTAATCAGGGGTTGCCACAGCGGAATAAACCAACTTATCCAGCACACATTTTACACAGTGAATGCCCTTCCAGCTGCAACCCAACACTTGCAAACTACTTATAATAACCATAATATATTATTAATATCATAGCAATATTATACTAATAATGAATATTGACATATTAATACAAGAAACATTATTGCAGTTTCATCTGTGATTCTAAAATAAAATAATAGTGACCATTCGACCACCTTTAAATAGCTTTAAGATCTTACTGACTCCAAACTTTTCAACAGCAGTGTATCATCGCTCAACTTGTCATGCCAACTCCCCAAAGATAAAAAAAACACTTTATAGATAACAAGCTAGAACAAGCTAAAACTTTTAAGTTATACACAAATAAAAATAAAACAAAAGCATGTACAGTTCTCCAAGGTATAAACCAAATTTAATCTAAGCACAAACATGACAAATATTTTTCTTTATAGAGGCACTAGACCAACAGAACCGAGCTTGACTTCAATTGAAATTCATGTACTGATTTACCTTACATGATATGCTCAGAATAAAGGGTAATACTTTAGTTTAGGTACCAGCTCATGCTATTAACTACTGGCTTATTACCTGCCTATTATTAAGTTATTAACTGTTCATTAGTAGTTAGTATGATCTTATTCTGCATCCCTAATCCCACCCAAAACCTTAACCCAACGTCTACCTTACTATTAAAAAAACAGCTAATTAGTAGTTTAATAAGCTAGGAGAGGTAGTTAATGGTTAATTAACATTGTGAATTGTGACCTAAACTAAAGTATTACAAAATAAAGTTCAACCAGGTGGTTGTTATTACAGAATAAAGCCTGAAAGGCTTATCAGCAGCCAAACACGAAGCAGAATACTGTTGTATAAGCCTTATTACACAGCTTCTTGTCACAAAAACTTACAAATTAGACACAAATCATTGATCCAAGTTGGAATAGGTTGTTAACTCTTTAATTAAAAGCAAAGCGGATAGAAAAAACAGCTGACTGAAGCATACTGTACTAATCTATTTTATTCAGCAACAAGATCGCCAACCTGATTTCACCAAGTAGGTCAAGTTCCTGGATTAACATCTATGTTTATTCTGGAACAACATTCCAATCAGCCAATCAGAATATTAAGGGATACGTTTACAGTTTATGTTAAGTTTAGGCTTATGGTTAGGTTTATGCACTTCTACATGATTGTTATCCAACTATAATAAAAATCAATTTATGGTTGGGTTTAGGGGTAGGGAACAGGTATAGATTACATTTTTCCAACAAAAATGATGTTCCAGGATCATCATAGATAGTTAATCTAGGATTGCATCGTACGTGCATCACAAGATGGTGCCTAACAGTCACAGACAAGCATATGTGAACGTATTCACTGATGGTCAACAAATTACAAAGTTCCCGGATGAACCTGTGTTATCAACAGTTGTTATCTGGGAATAACAAATCTTGGAATGTTGCAACTGACCAATCAGAATCAAGTATTCCAGACAGCCATGTAATTATTTCAGATAAGCGGTTTTGGATTGTTTGGTGCCATCTTGTGACTGAATAATAAGTGGATTAGTGTCCGCTCTATCCAGCGTTTTTGTTTCTGCCAGCTTTGATTTAATTAAAGAAGTAATAAACTATTACAGCTCAGAACAGCTCAGTACCTGGATGTAAGCATATGGATGTGACGTATTTACTGACGGTTAAGAAGATTCAAAGTTTCCTAGATGAGCCTGTGTTATTTAGAGGTTCCTATCTGGGAATAACACACTTCAGATTGTTGTGACAGACCAATCAGAATAGAGTATTCCAGACAGCCGTGTGATAAGGTATTTTAAAACATGGTGCACAAAAGCACAGACATTACTCTGCATGTTTACAGACCAACTATTTATCAGTCAACTAAAGCGCTACTCAAAATGATGAACTATTTTGTTGAGTGTGCATTCTGGCAGGCTGCTTTATCTCCATATCACTCTTACCTCCTGAGAGAGGTGATGTGTTCATCAGAGAGACCGCCTTCCTCTTCATTTATAATCAACAGTTTGTCCTTCAGCTCTTTTGGTTGCACGGGGAAACTTTTCAGGAAAATATCTGTGGGGAAAATAAAGCACACAATAAAGTTAGATTCTTTTATCAAGACAAAAAATACCCCCCCCCCCACCTCCAATGAAAAACTCCAAGAGCGTGTTTTGAAGACAAAAGGGTTGTGTGCTTAATTACCTCTCTAACCGGCGAGGGCCAGATGCGTGCTGATTTGCATTATATAAAAAAATAAATAAATAAAAAAAAACGTGAATTGATGGCAAGTTCATTTTAACTAACAAACCTAGCTGTGCTGAAGCTGCAAACAGAAGGAAGGTATGAATAATGGGAGCTGTGCAGGTTTGGATAACGCTCATTAGAGCAACATATTCACACTCTGATTGAGCAGCATCGGGTTCAAGGGTGCATTTACAACCTTAAGCCGCTTTTTCCTGTTTGCACTAACATGAAAACATGAAACGTGAAACCAATTAGCATTCACTCCTCTTTGGAGAGGCTGACAGTTTTAACTCGAGCAAGAAAATCCACATCTTAGGATGAATACCATCTTCATTGTTAGAATCAAAGGAGAACATGTAGCATTTATAAAAAAAAAACAATCAGCCTCATAATCACATTGACAGACTATCAGTATTAAAGGTGTTGTAAGAAAGTTTTTGACTCTTCTAAAGCATAAAAATACCATAATATGTTTGTAGATATTTAACCCAAGCATCCCGGCCAAATCCTCTCCACCAATCAGCTGGTGTGTGGTCTGGTGCAATATGACTGCTGTCGCGTCATCCAGGTGGATGCTGCACACTGGTGGTGGATGAGGAGATTCCTCCAAATGTGTAAAGTGCTTTGAGTGTCCAGAAAAATCGCTATTTAAATAAGGAATTATTATTATTATTATTATCATTATTATGTAGTGCATAAGTGCATAGTGTGCAGTGCTTCATTTGGGACATGCAGCTAGTGTTTGAGAGTTTTGTCAATACAACTTGCCATTGCCAAGACAACATATCTTGCTAAATCCTAAATCTGTCATAAACATGATTTTCAAGAGGCCATTATAATTGTCATTAATGTTTTTCTGACTTTTTTAGATGAACAAACTGAATTTACCATTAAAACGTCTTTAAGTATCAAAACTCTTTCAAATAACAGCGTCATTGATGTTTATCTTGAAATTAACTACAGTGACCCTGAACATGTAAACTTCACACAGATATGTCAACTGACCCAGCTGGGCTCGAACCAGCTACCTTCTTGCTGTAAGGTGGCAGTGCTAACGACTGAGCCACCGTGCCACCTATTTATTAAAATGACATTTGTTAAATAAATTCTTTGCTATGGAGTAAATATTATAATGAGTAAACATTTTGATGAGACTTTTGAATAACAAAGGCATTTAACTGAGTCTCTGAAGGGGCTGTTCCTCAAGGAGCTTTAAATTCTATACAAAAGCACTAACATATAATTTCGTCCTTGTGCTTTTATGTGCCACTTTAATAAAATTATATGGTTTTGCCTTATTTCTGAAGTGCATGATTGCACTGAACAACAGCTCCGAGCTGTAGGCACATTAACTAGGGCTTCAGCTTAGCACCAACCAAACCCCTCGCTCAACTTTTCAAGCTGTAATTACAGCTCCAATCATGGGTTCATCATTAGAAATGTATTTTTTAATATAAAAATGAAACATCCTTATGGGTGGTACATGTATAGCAAAACAACAAATTCAAATACATTGAAATGGTGGACGATGATTGCACTTTCTGCTTCATTTATAAAGACTTTGGATCCATTATTGTTCAAGGACTGGACTCAAGAGGTGCTTTCACTTCAAATCCATTAGCTACGGCTCTTTATAACGTCTGAAAGATCATTAAAAATGAGAGCGTACATATATAGTGGGTCCAAAAGTTCGAGACCATTAGTGAAAATGTAGTTTCACACCCTAAAAAAAATCATTACAAATGTATTATGTTGTTACAGTATTCAACAACACATCATTATTCACCATTTTTAAAGGTATCAAAAGCATCTTGTAATTCATGGTTAAAGTTCTGACCTTCTATACAAAGTTCGCATGTCTAGTAACACAAAACAGCAGAATATAATTAGTACTTATTTACTTGTATCATAAATCTTCCTGCTTAAATGTTCTTGAAAGGTTCTTCATTTAATAATGGCATGCACTTGAAAGTGAGGCCAGCTAGCGAAGTGCTACGCATGTAAACCTCACTTCTCTGACCACTTATGGTGCTCTAGCAACAGAAGCTAGAGGTCATGGCCTTTAGCCTCCTTGTCAGAGCAACCAACTCGCATACATAGAATCACCGGTTCAATCCCAGATTATTGCAGTAGGACCGGTGGGTTACATGTGTGGGCTCGTCCGGGATGGGAGTGAGGGTGTAACAGAGGCCAGCTAGCAAAGTGCTATGCAGGTAAACCTCACTCCACTGACCTCAAAAGGTGCTCAAGCGACAGACACTAGAGTCCATGGACTTTAGCCTCCTTGTTAGAGCAACTGACTCACACGCAATGAATCGCTGGTTTGATCCCGGCTCAGATTGGGTTGGGTGCAGTAGAACTAGTTCATCACACAAGGGGGCTCGTCCGGGATAGGTAAGGTTTAGGGGGGTGAGTGTAACGGAGGCCAGCTAGCGAAGTGCTATGCAGGTAAACCTCCCTCCTTTGACCTCAATAGGTGCTCTAGCGACAGACACTAGAGGCCATGGACTTTAGCCTCTTTGTTAGAGCAACCGACTCCTATACAAGAAATTGCTGGTTCGATTCCAGCTCAGAGCAAGTTGGGTGCAGTTGTACTGGTGGGTTACACAATCAAGGTCAAAAAACACTTTTCACATAATATACATTACAGCAAGTGGTCATTTCTCACTAACCATGCTTATTTTTTTGCCGTTTTAGCAGTAGGGCTAAATATGAAATCACAATACAATTTTCATTACAGCCAATATCGATAATCATCACTATATAAATATCAAATTATTTCAAGTTTAAAGGCAGATTTTTGCTTCTGAGTGACTTTAACCTACAATGTTATTGTCAGACCATTACAATAATGTTAAACATTTATATCATAATAACCGGTAAAATCACACATATCTGGTTACTATTATAATTGTATGAAAAAACATTAGCTTGATCATGTTAAATAAACTCTACTGTACAAATCGTCACCTAAGAATTATAAGGTTCTATCTGACATTTTTCAAAATTGAGTTATTGACATATTCTTACACCCTCTGCCAATGCATTGATCAAATGAACAGTTGGACGTGCAAAAACTTTCTTTAGTTAAACAAAGAGTAAACTGAAGTCATTGTGTTTGGGAACAGAAATGAGGTTCTCAAGGTGAATGCGTACCTTGGTCCTAAGGGTCAAACAACCAAAAATAAGGTCAAGAATCTTGGTGTGATTCTGGAGTCAGAAATGAGTTTTAGTAGTCATGTCAAAGCAATAGGTAAATCAGCATATTATCATCTCAAAAACATTGCAAGAATTAGATGCTTTGCTTCCAGTGAGGACTTGGAGAAACTTGTTCAAGCTTTTATCACCAGCAGATTGGATTACTGTAATGGACATCTTATTCTTGTTTATGTAAAGCACGTTGAATTACCATTGTGTATAAAATGTGCTACAGTATATAAATAAAGTTGCCTTATCTTGCCTTGCCTCACACTGTTAAAATGCTGGAACACGCAATCGATTTGTGTTGGAACAACATAAAGAAATTAAGTTAAAATAAAAATTAAATTTTTATTAAGTGGATCGAACATAAAACAATCGAGTACAACACCATTTCATCTGGTTTTAAATTAACGCCAAAGACGACTTTTCACACATGCTTGGATGATCTTTTTGCCACTTATCCACATAATGGTAATAATAAAGTCACACTCAGCTAATAAACAGTCTACAGTTGCTCGTTTCACATGACAAATCCACTAGAGGGCGCAAATCTACTAAATGCACAATGGAGTCTCCTTAAAAATCCTGAAACTTAGATTAGTTTCTATATAACTTAAAACAAGTCTCAAACTTTCAGTCATACCACACAAATGATATCCTAAGACATCAGTGACGATAATCTAAGAGGAGATAAAAAAAAATGCTAAAGCCTTTTCTCCTAGTATTACAGTATTTTATGTGAAAGCTCAATAAGATGTCTAAAACTCTGCTCAGATTTTCCGAGAAACCCATTAAAAGTAACAGATTTCAGGTCTCAGGTGAAATGTAAGAGCAACCTCTGAGCAATAAAACTTCTGGATAAAAGTGACGGCACTAATGATGGCTGTATGGCTGTATTAAAAGCCTCAACTGAGTCCTCAAAAGTATCCGGCAGCAAATTAGCCTTTGAGTTTGTCATATTATTAGGACATACCCTTTGCTAAATGATATCAAGACAGAAAATAAGTAGTCATAATGAGCATAATGGATCTGTTGTAAAACACAGTGAGGCATCTAAACAGACAGCAGTATGGTGGTCGAGAGAGCTTAACGTGCTGCAATTTAAGGGTGCTTTCACACTCGGTTCAATTGCCTAGACCAAACTCAAGTTCGATTGTCGGTCCCTTGCCACCTTCTTGGTTGGTTTGTGTTCACACCGGCTTTTTTCCTTCTGAACCCCGGTATGTTTGTATCACCAAGCTGCTGTTTTGTGCTAGGTGACTGCCACGAAAGCAAAGGGCCAAAATGGAGACGTCCGCATATTATTGCCATTCTATTTATTTTGTTACCAGAACCAAAATACAGAAAGCCACTTGCGTCTATCTGCTGCAAAAAAATAAAAATAAATAATAATAATAAAAAAACATTAAAAACATTTTGCATATAACGCAATGTATACAAAAGCCATTTTTGGTTCACTGTTTGCGCTGGGTCAGTCCCGCTTGTCAACAAGGTAGGTGATAAGCAGACACACACATGAACAAAGTTATGAAAACTATAGTTTGTTGTACAGTTGGCGGTTCACTTCCATTATTTGGTACAATTGCATTCATATCAGAGGTGAACCCAGAGTTTGTACGAACCGTACG